ACTAATCATGAAGGAAACAAAATAGTCAGCATGTATTATCAATGTTTTTACTTAGTCCTTAACCATCCAGAATCCATCGTTTGAAACAGGCGGCTGCCGGCGTTACTAACAACAACACATTGTGTCACATATTTATGTGACACAACAATCATTAAAGATTTACACCAAAATATTTGGGAACACTCAGGCAGAGCGTCCTTAACAGTTACGCTTTCAAGTTAGAGAATGGATGGATCTAGACTCTTGACATTCATCGCCCCGATTTTTTGCGAGCTGTGGTGCACTGGTAAGTTTTCGTTCTAAAAAGTGTACCAGCTAATTAAAATAAATTGTTCCATCAACTGAAAAACAAATATTAGATATAATTGGCGACAAGAATAATTGGTTATGTTCCTATTAGGCTAGTGTAGGTTTCGGTCAAAAATGGAGAAACAGAAGATAGACTGTTTAGTTGTCATAATTACAGTATCGTCACGGTGAGTTAATTCAAGCTGGATTCCCATAAGCATCCAAAACGAAAAAAGTGTGTATAGATGAACCTGAGGAAATGAGAAAAAAACGGTAGGATCGAACTTCGCTAAAAGGAGAAAAAGCGTCAAACGTTTTCTTATTTTTCATCCAGGTATGAATGATTTCATTTAAACAAGCGTGCAAAGTTCCTTCTTCCATTGTGTGTTTCTATCCTTGTAAATAGGAAGACTTTTTTTTTTTTATAATGGATCTAACAAACACCTGAAATAACGTTTATAATATGCAAACCATAAACCCGCTCAATACTTCCCTCTGGAAGCGTATATATGAAAGGGTTTGTTATATTGGAGCCTACCTAAATTTTATGTACGTTTTCTTTTTTTAAATTTTTTTACTCATAAGTTGTTCACAAAAATTTTACAAAAGAATCATTTTACTTTCTCGAACTTCTGCCTATGCCGAGAAAATTTTGTGACACCACGAGGAAGTCAGTTGGATATACCTTTGTAAACTACGCAATAACGCTTAGTCACGATTAGATTGCATAAAATTAGACACCCACTCATTAATCATTGAAGAATGCATGGAATTAAAACAGTACTTTAACCTTTGAATGAGGCATGCTTTTAAATTTAGGACTTCATTCCATTTAGGACAAAATGGTATTACTTTTAGGACTTATTTTTTTATTTTTATTTTATTTTTATCAAATGATTCACCCGAAGGTGGGTGTAAATACAATAGGACTCTAAGTGCCCTCCAAGATATTTACACCCTTAATCCCAACCCCCCAATTAGATTTAAAATCCCAACCCAACGCATTAAGAAAAAGAACAAACATATAGTACATATTTTACAACTGACTGCGGAATTAACAAGAACAAACTGTAAAAGCATTAACTTTACGTCATTTAGGACAAATCAACTTAAAGGTACGAACATTATCTCCATCAAATATTTGATTTAACCTAAGAAAATAGAAAGATTTGAGGTTAATTACATTTAGGACTTCAACAGCACGGTCTTGTCGAGCGTTAGTAATTCTTTGCGTGGGCTAATTTCTAGCCGGCACATTTTAGCGATATGCAGTGGTGGGTTGTATTTTTAACTTCAAGGAACGGTCACCATGGAAGTTGTTGACGTGTTCAGTGGTCAATCCATGTAACGAAAAGCTAAACCGCAGGCATATAATGAATGTGTCTATGATACACCTTTGGTAGCAAAAACCAAAAACTGACCGCGTTACATTTACAGTTTTTGTCATCCGAAGTAGCTTTGTTTTGAGACAAGCAATGACAAGTAATTACGAAACTTTTTGTAGGTTCCCATATCCAGCTTGCCTGCGCGCTCCAATAGTATGCTAGAATAAGATTTTTTGAGAAGATTCCAACATTTCCTCTTTGAGAACAAACTGCACCCTCACTGGTTTACTTTTATATCTTCCTTGCAGTGGTTTCCGAAGAATACAGTCGTATTATAGTATTCAAGGAACCAGTACCAAACAAAGTCTTAAAGGGGCACTCGATAAGAACGGAAAAAGTAGCCGACGAAGGGAACTGCCGCGTGTTGTGCTATTTGGAGCCAAACTGTGTATCCATCAACCTAGGACCTCAAGAAGATGGCGGTACAATTTGCCAATTAAATAATAACACCGATGAGAGCCTATCATCATCAACCTTGCTGAAAAATAACTGCTACACTTATTATGGTATCGAGGTACGAGGAATTGATACATGTTGTTTAAGCGGCCACCTTGAATTTTTAATGAAGTAGTAACGTCAGGTCACCAATTCAGTTCAATATTGTAATTTGACGCTACTTTGCATAGTTAATACAGCGCTTTAAACTATTTACCTCAATGAAATTAATTCCCTCCTAGAACTTCGCATTACGTGTGCTCGCCGCTCTGTGTTTAGGAATTTTGATTTTGATTTTGATTTTTTTTTTATTTTTGTTAATAGTAAGACATACATTGCATTTACACCAGAAACTACAAACTGACCCCGAAATATGTACACCCCTGCACAAGTAACTACCATTAATAAAACATTTTATCATATGACCCGTCCGGCTCNGAAATATGGATACTCGCGAAAATTCCCGAGTCTAAGTCAAAAGAAAAATAAGAAAAACAACCAACCAAAGTGGGCTAATCATAAAGGAAACAAAATATGAACTTCATATATTCATCGTACCGGAAACAAAATAGTTAGCATGTGTTATCAATGATGTTTTCACTTAGTCGTGAACCATCCAGAATCCATTTTTTTAGAAACAGGTGGCCGCCGGGCCTCAGGGCAACGATCCTTCAGCTTTTGTGGAGCCGAGGGCATGGAACGAGCTTTCAAAATCCACCTAGGGACGCTACCTCGTTGAATAATTTTAAATAGAATTTATTGGAACTGTTTAAGGAATTTTAAGATTTCATCCTTCCAATCGTATATAAATTTTTAGCTTTCATTACTATATTCTAGTTTTATGTCCATGTTGATGCTATTTTCGGTAATTAATTTAGGACTATTTCCTACCGCTTTCTGGCTGAAGAGTCCCTATGGGCTATGGGGGAGCTTCGATCAATAAATGTATGTATGTACTAACAACAACATATTGTGCCACATATCTATGTGACACAATAATCATTAAATATTTACACCAAAGTATTTGGGAACACTCAGGTAGAGATACCCTAACCAGTGTTACAGTTTCAAGTTAGAGAATGGATGGATCTAGACCGCTCTTGACATTCATTGCTCCGATTTTTTTCGAGTTGTGGTGCACTGGTAAGTTTTCCGGCATTCTAAAAAATGTACCAATTAGGTAAAATAAATTGTTCTATAAACTGAAAAAAAATATATCGGATATAATTGGCAAGAAGAAAAATCGGTTATGCTCTTGTTAGGCTAGTGTAGGTTACAGCAACAAATGGGGAAACAGAAGTTAGGCTGTTTAGTTGTCATTATTATGTATCATTATACTGCCTACGAGAATGAAACCAAAGCGAGACTACATCCTTTTTTCAGTTCTGTAATGTCACAGTGAGCGAATTCAACCTGGATTCCCCTAAGCGTCCAGAACGAAAAGAAGTATGTACATGAGCTTGAGGAAATGAGAAAAAAAACGTCAGGATCGAACTTCGTTAAAAAGGGAAAAAGCGTCAAACGCTTTCTTGTTTTTCATCTAGGTATGAATGATTTCATTAAAACAAGCGAGCAAAGTTCCTTCTTCCATTGCGTCTTTTGGTCCCTGTAAACAGGAAGACTTTTTTTACAATAATATAGTATTTTTAAAATTTAAGGTTACCGTGCACCTTCAGGGGTGTCTCGCGTGCAAGCGATGTAGCGCGTCCGGTTTAAACTGTAGATATCTAACCCCAATGTTGTGTCGGTTGCATGATCTATTGTCGAATTTTTCACGACTTCTACATGCGAGCGCCCGAATCACCTTGTGAACGTTACATGTCAAAGCGAACTTTGTTTTGCGCTTATTTAATGTGTTCCTCCGTTTCCGGGGCCAAAGCGCTAAGAAAACGTGTCTGCGATTTGCCATATTCAATTTAATGTTTGGGATGGCGATCAAATCAGCTCAAAATAGGAAAGAACAATTGCGAAATTTATTCTTTTTAATGGAATAATGGATACTCCCGAAAATGTCTGAGTCTAAGTCAAAAGGAAATAAGAAAAATAACCATACAGAGTGCACTAATCATGAAGGAAACAAAATAGTCAGCATGTATTATCAATGTTTTTACTTAGTCATTAACCATCCAGAATCCATTGTTTTAGAAACAGGCGGCTGCCGGCGTTACTAACAACAACACATTGTGTCACATATTTATGTG